TACATGTATGGGGGGCCCCACCCCCAATTCTTTTTTTTACTATTTAGTGTCATAATTTTGTAGCGGTTCATACAACACATATTCCCATCAAATTTCATCACTGTAGTACTTATAGTTTCCGAGTAAATCGGCTGTGACAGACGGACAGACGGACAGACGGACAGACGGACAGACGGACATGACGAAACTATAAGGGTTCCGTTTTTGCCATTTTGGCTACGGAACCCTAAAAAGGGAGAACAACCAAAAAAATAAAGACTTGTACATTGGTAGGTTTTTGATATATTATATTACGCATAAATAGGAATATTATAAGGTATAAAATGAGAAACGAACCTAGCAGGATAAGTCTTAAATAGTGATTAATAATAATAATAATAAATTAATCGATGATACCGTAAAAGGAACGCTAAAAGTGATTTTTTTCAAATTGTTTTGATTAAAAAAGGTTTAAATTTTATTTAAAAAATTGAATTTATCAATAATTCGTATAAAAGTTGTCCAAAACTGAGCCGTCCCAGCAGCAGGAAGGCGCTACTATCAATACTGAACTATTAGCTCCGATTTTTGCCTCGTTGGACAGCCATATAATTATGACATTTACAGCAAGGTGCTACTAACAACTGGGTTAGTAATCCAATTTTTGCGACTTGACGTTTTAGAAATTGTTTGACTGTATTTTGAATTTTTCACTTCTTCTTCAATATTTTCTTCTGTAATATTTACTTGTAATAGTTCCCTAGTTTCCTTTTTTTTGCGGTAATACGCTCTCGAATTTTCGCGCCATTTCTGCCTTTGTTTTATTTGTTCGTCTATACTTGTTATTTTAATATGGCTGATTCAAATTGTATTCATTTTCGATTCCATCGTCGGATTGTGAATCAGTATGACTTTCTTCGTCAGATTCATTATCAGGCACTTTTACATGTCCCTACATAACTTTATCCTACCACTGCTTCTGGACTATTGTGGGTTAGTACTGAGAAGAAGCAGCGGTTGGCGATCGTTATCGAGCGCTTATCTGTAGTTGTGCCGGTCCCTCCACAATCTTTCCACCAACCCTCGTCGTGAAGTGGCCCCATATTAGGGTTTCTGCTCGAGCCTTCTCGAACTCGAGAAAACTCGAGAAATTTGGCTTCATTCGAGACGAGAAAAAAATTACCGGAGCTCGAGAATTCTCGAGTTTCGATTTTGAAGCTTTAATACTCTTGAAAGCCTGTTTTCTAAGACAAAAGTAAGTTTTTAATTATTTGATAGGTTAACGTTGCTTTTAGACTGGCCTAGTCTTCCTTTTTTAACTGATTTGATTTGCAATTAATGATCTCAATCGAAACTAAGTAATAATGTTTACCTACGAGTATGCTATACTATACCTATTTATTATGTATGTTTAACTCTCTAACTCTAAAGACCGAAAAATGGGTTAACTGTCTGTTAGGTTAGGTACTCGTGCCTCCTCGTAAAGTTTATTCAAGTCATTGTCCTAAAGAAATTAAAAAAAATATTAAAAAGTGTTTTTTTGTTTATAAAAAAAAACTATTTATCGTAATTTTGCTATTTGGACTTGTGTCCTTTGGAAAACAAGTGATTCAATTGTAGCTCCAGATTTTTTATTGTTATTTATCCTTAAAGTACACGCGACTTTATGACTTTTGTTCCTTTAGTTAAATAACTAAATTATGATTATTAGTTAGTATTAATTATGAAAGAAGATTTCATTTTTTGTTTGTTTCCTTACCAAAATAAGTGGTACTAAATTCTAATATTGATTGTTGTGCATTAAAGTAGGTATATTAGATTAAAAAACCTGTGTTTTTATTAAATTTCAACCTATTTCAACAGTTTTAATTAAACGACTCGAGACCCGAGAAAACTCGAGATTTTCGCCTCGAGAATTCCCGAAACTCGAGAAAAAAAATAGGTCGAGAAATCAGAAACCCTANTAGATTAAAAAACCTGTGTTTTTATTAAATTTCAACCTATTTCAACAGTTTTAATTAAACGACTCGAGACCCGAGAAAACTCGAGATTTTCGCCTCGAGAATTCCCGAAACTCGAGAAAAAAAATAGGTCGAGAAATCAGAAACCCTACCCCATATCCAACATAGACTGGCTGCGCTGGTTGTCTTCTGCCGTCCCTACTCAAATCATACCCGTCCAGTGTGGGAACTTGAATGCGTGCACGATTGCAGATGTTGTGCAATACGATACACGCATTGACAATTTTCCCAGCTTTGACTGGATCATAGTGGAGAGTTCGGTGCGCTAGAAGACAGTGCCACCTAGCCTTCAATACTCCAATGCACCGTTCTACAGTGTTGCGGGTGCTACAGTGAAGATCTGTGTAGTGTACTTCTGGAGAATCCGGAGCTGCTTGCAGAATAGGAGTCATCAGCCACTCCCGCTGGGCGTATCCAATACCCAGAATCCTCTATAAGGTAAAAATAAATTACTTAGGTATTCTGCACGATAAAGGCATAGCACATCTCTGGTAGAAAATCAGTCTTAGAACATAAAAGGTGTAATATTATTCCATGTATTACCTAATAGCCAGCACACTTCACCGGCTTCAGCCAGACTTCGCATGTGAGCCTCCAAAGCGCTCCTATTCCACACATGCTAGTCATGGCTGGCACCTCCATAAGAGGCATCCACATGAAGTACATTGAGATCTGCATCACATATTATCTAGAACATTATAAAATTTAAAAAACTAAATAACCCATCTCATTTTTCTACAATAAATAAATGTCAGAAGTGCCGCAGCAAACTAAGGTAGATACTAATAAAAACTTACAATCATTGCATTTAATGTGGTAATGCTTCCTATTAAAGAAAGCCTCCTCATAATCATGGGGCCGTATGATGGCAATATGTGTGCCATCAATACAGCCCACAACACCGGGGAAGCACATCCATGAATCTGCAAAAAAAAGTTGGTTTATGTCCTTTTCTATTCTTGAGCCATAATAACACGGCTTGAAATGGGTACCTACCTACCCTCTCATAACCGCCATTCTCTCCTCACGGTTACCAGGGAAGGCGATGTGCCGTTGGAGAATTGCTGGTTCATTTAAGGCATCTGTGACTTCAGCCACACACTTGTGGACAGCAGTCTGGCAGAGCCCTAAATTATAATCTTTTCCAACCCGCCTCTGGTAGCTGCCCCCGGCGTAAAAGTCTAAGGCAGCCATGATCTATAATATTAAAAGTAACATTTAAAAAACGGACGGATTCGCTTTAAGTACTCACATTTGCAAAGAAGGTACTTACTTTGAGCTCTGCAGAGATCCCTGTAGATCTCAGCCTTAGGGGCATGAACGGCGCGAGATCATCAACAAGCTGTTGAAATAACGGCAACGACATCGCGACAGCCTGTAATTGCTGATGAACTCCACATCCGGCATATCCCAGGACATCGATGCTCTCCGCAGCGCTTGTCTCCTCATCTGAGAGCGTCTCATGTGACGCTCGCGTTCAATCATGCCCATCATGTAGGCGTGCGCTATTATATTCTAAAAAAAACACTCGGATTAACAATAAATTGTGCCGAAAAAAAACTCTTGTGATTCACTAAATTTTATTTCCATTAACACCAAACACTCACCGCTTTATCTTTCAAAGAAAATATTATAACAATTTGCGTACTAGGACGAAGATAAAATTTACACCTCCATGAGAATTAACGTCAACGTTATCTATGTCTTAGGTAGTTTGTTATAAAAAAGTGTGCTCCTTTAAAGATAATACTTTTTTTTTTAAGTTAGTACGTATCTTTGGCAATACGAGCAAACTAGGTCGACGAAGACTGCGTTTGGAGATTTGCGATTTTTTGATGAAAGTCAAATTTGTTTGAACGGTTTTACTAATGATCTTCCTAATCAGAATGCAGTTGCTATGTACCTACCTATGTAGAGTTCGCGTTTTGTAGAGTTGTCGAATATTCATTATTTTAGCCTCACTGAAATTTTTTTTAGTTGGTGTTAGTATGGATAGCAGAAGTTAAAAACAACAAAGGTAAAGCATATTGAACCCAGTAGAAGTAGTATAACTTCATAATAATTACATGCTGGACTTTCCTTTACAAAATTTATTTCTTGCAGTTTTTCATCAAGCTCTCTCATATTTTGTCTGCTGTATTCCGCTGCTCTGCATATTTCCACTGCTGTGTCGAGATTTAACTCCTTTTCTCTTAATAACCTTTCTTTAACATTCGAATCTCTCAAGCCTATAACTAACATGTCTCGAACCATTCCTCTTCTTTAAAATTACAACATTTTGCTGCTGTTTTCAACCTCATCACAAATCTGTCCACCGGCTCCTCCAGCTCCTGTTTAAGTGTTTCAGCTCATGACAACTTTCAAAAGCTGCCTGTATTTTCTCCATCCATGAGCATCTTCTATTTTATAGCAGGGATGTTATGGATATCCTTAACCGTAACCGATTCAAAAGTTTCGGATGTTTTTCTCTGGGCTGTCATCAGCCTGTTTTACCAATAGCTATCTTGTATCAGTTTTTTTTATTCGATGGCCAATGGACAAAGTTCTAGGCCAGGAGAGATACAAAAAAAAAATTCAACCGAGCTGTCACTTGTCTGTCACAAAAGCCGCGCTTGTCGTTGTTTGTTCGATTTTTTGTTGATGTACGATTTTTGAGTACGATTTTTTAATTTGTGAATGTGATTGTGGGTGTACAGTTGTACAAAGCCAACGCAAACTAAAATGCGTCTTACGTCAAGCATAATATGGTCATTTTTTGAAGAATTAGGTGTGGATTTTGCAAAAAGCAAAAATTGTGGCAAAACATTTTCTCGCAAAGGAGGTGGCACCACCTCCTTAAAAATACACTTAAAGTCGAAACACATACTCGAATATCAAAAGCTGTTGTCACTCGAAAAAGCAAGTACAACAACAACGTCAAGAAACACCAAGTTTAACACCTTTACAACAATGCAAGAAACAGTTCTCTATAACAGAGTCATTAAATAATAAGGGTTCATGGTATGATAGTAACTAGGGATGGGCAAACGGAAAAAAAATATCGATATTTATCGAATGGATATTTTTCAAATATATCGATATATATCGCCCAAGAAATATCGATATTTCGATATATCGATATTTTTTGCCCAATTTGCAATTATTTATAAAAATGGCCAAAAATATCTAAATTTTAAAGAAAACACATGTCGCTGTTTCAACTCAAGTTGTAATATTTCAATTTATTTTTTCGAATGAGCAATTAAACATTGACAAAAAAAAACATTATTCAAACCAGTATTTGTCTGATATTGACATCAGGAGCACTCTTTGTTTGATGTGTTTTTTCTCCTGTAAGTCTGCTCCTATCATTTGGCACAGCCAAATTTACCACTGAAGCTACCCTTTCAGATGACACTGAAGATGCCTGACATATCAAATATTTAAGAGCAATAGCAGAGCTTTAAAAATATTAAAATATATCGATATTTTTCTGAAAAAATATCGATATTTTGATATATCGATATTTTTTACCCAATCCTAATAGTAACTAATCAAAAAGAGGTAGATCAATTGGTGGCAGAAATGTTGGCTCTGCAAAATTTGCCTTTCAATTTTGTAGATGGCCTTGGCTACAGAAATATATAATGTATAAATAAGCATGGGTATCCCTGTATATAATGTCATTTGAAACTGGTCCGCTATATTTTGCTTTCTTGTCTTGTCATTAGCAAGATGCAACATTTTCAGTTTTTGTTCATCTTCTGTGAACTAATGTTGCTTCCTGGTAGTTTCCATTTGCAGCTGTACAAGTTCCAATCCGGCTGCACTTAATTTATCCAGTCTGCCAGTTACACTTGCTTTGGAGACTTTATCTATTTTTATTACATTTGACACCTTTGTTTTTAGATCCTTTGGATGCCAATTTACCCATTTGTTTTCTGAAAGCACAAGTTTTAAAGCCGGGGGCAGGGAGATTCCTAGGAGGTCGTCCAGGATCAGGTTCCACAGCGCTTGGCCGCAGGCTGGACGCTTCATCTTTGCATTCCCTTCGAGGCAACTGCCCCGGCGTAGTTTAGGATGACGATCCGGTCTCTGAGGTAGCTGGCGATCAGCCCAATGATGTTCACAGGGCAGCCGATGACCCTCAGTCGATCACTAATGGCCGGCTATCACGCCCGATTGAACGCCGACTGAATGTCGAGCGAGACCGCCACACAGGGTTGTCCTTGATGTGTTCTACTGCATCGCTGAGAGCGTGCAAAGTCGACGTGTTTCTTTTTTTTCTGCTACCATTTTAGCCACAACAGGGATTTTTAGTTAGATTAATAATAGTAGATTTGACGTTCTCTTACGAACTATTTAACTAACTTATGCTAGTTACATATTAAGTGGTTCCGACGGGCGTGCCACAGCCTAGAATGGGTGGAGTTACCCGTCGGATTCGGACCCACCGAGGCGGTAAGGGATTCCTGCTCACGGTGGGTCGGGGGTGTCAGGTTTCCGCCACATTTTGGAATCGTTTCGGCGACCTGGCATACCGCCGCTGTGATGTTAAGCATGGCGGCGTCCAGCTCGGCCGCAAAAAAGCCAGCGATTCTGTCCGGGTCTACGTCCTCCCAAGCGATAGTAATCACCAGGGCGTCCTTGAAGAGCCGCCAGTCAGGTGTCGGGGATGTTTGGTATCTGCATAGAGTACTTTATATACAGGGTGGAAACGATAAGTGATCTCACTGGATTATTTCTAAACTATACTAGATATCCAAAAACTGGTTACTGATCCTGAAAGTGCTTCACGAGCTCTATCCAATGGTACCAATAATAGGTTATAAAATAAACTGGACCTATCCGAAAATTCAATGTTACCAGCTTCCATACATTTAGTACTGCCACAGTCATGGCACTCATGTCTTGATAATATTATAGCAAGTAAAGCCAAAAACCAATGTTTTCCATGAATAATTTTAAATAAGAATGCAATTTACGAGTTAATTTTAAGTGTTTATTATTTAAAATAAAAAAATTAGCACTTCTAACATTGTGTGGCTGGCATACATTTAGTATGGAGGCTAAAAACATTGAATTTTCGGATGGATCCAGTTCATTCTGTAACCTATTACAGATATCGTTTGAAAGAGCTCTTGAAGCACTTTCAGGATCAGTAATCAGTTTTTCGATATCTTGTATAGTTTAGAAATAATCGAATGAGATCACTTATCGTTTCCACCCTGTATAGGGAATAGAGACTTATCTCAGCCGTCAAAACTGGAAACGACAGCGTCGCCCTGCGACTAGCTGTTTTGGCAACTTTACGATGCATGTATTATCGTACACATGTGTTAATTTGAAATATATGCCTTTTTATTAAAGGATGTATTAATAAAACACATTTTATTAAGATTTTTTTTTTCTTTTAAAACATTCGAGATATTTCTTGGCCTTAATTTTAAATAAATCATTTTCATCATCACTGAGATAGTTCTTCTTGTTATTTAATATTTTATTGATTTCTTTACAATAATTATAAATAAAAAACCGGCAAGATATTTTTAAAATAAAATTTATAATATCATATTTATGAATCTCACAAGTTATGAAGTCAAACTCTATTAACATTAGAATAATCGTTTTAATTAACTCTCCAAGATTATGTTTTTCAAAATGTTCTTTTATTATTACATAATATACAGGGTTACAGGTTAAGTCGACCTATTCCCGTTAAGGGCGTGTAGTTCACAACGTCCCCTACTGATTTGACTATGAACACCCTATTCTAAACCTAACTATTTTCGTAAAAACAATTTTAATTGTTTTTTTTATAAAAAATCCCCAATTTTTGGCTATCAGCTTAGATATTTTCAAATGTGTAAGTCTTATTATTACTATTACTTGATTTTTACAAGTAAAATAAGATGCTTTATGACCTCAGTAACCAACATTGTACGTGAGATGAATACATAAGTCCGTGTAGACGATTAAAACTTTAAAAAATAAATAAATAGTTAGAAAGTTTATTTTTCTTTAAAGGATAATAAAAAATAAGCTCTCTACTACGTTTCATCAGCTATCCAACGAGGTATAATAATTTACGATTTTATCAAAAATTTGTAGAAAAAACTTAGTTTCATAGGCTACATAGGGGAGGCAAAAAAGCTAAATAAAACAATCTCATCGTATTCTAAAGTTGATGTTCAACATCCCCGCCTCTGTTTTGCACACATCTTCGCATTCTCTTTCGAAGTCCACTTTTTACTACACCAGTACTCAAAGTCCTTCGCATTTCATTTGCCGCATTAATAATTCTGTCTCTTAATACTTCTATTGATGTTATTGGGTTGGGCTCACTGTAGACGAGACTCTTCATGCCTCCAAACATAAAAATCCATGGGGGTTAGGTCC